GTTCAGACTGTCATAAAAAAATCGGATACGAGTCAGATGGGTCAAAAAAATCGGATTTGTCCCGTTCAGACTGTCATAAAAAAATCGGATACGAGTCAGATGGGTCAAAAAAATCGGATTTAGGTTGGATTTGCCTGCAGTGTGAACGTAGCCATAGTTCTCTGGGTCATCTTCAGGTTAATCTTAAATATCTTCTAAATTTAAGCAGGTGTTTCAATGCCTTTACATTACACAACAGTTATAGTGGAGAAACTTGTCAGTTTGGTAAAAAAAAAAATCAGTAAAATAAATTGTTTTTTCTATGCAGATAACTTCTTGTGCTATAATTTTTCAAATAAATATATCAAAGCTCCTCAGTTGAAAACACTAAAATGAAGATGAGCTGTTTAAATCCCCTTTCTTCAGAAAGTCTTCAGTCCTAAGAGCACACAACTGTAGCTTTAATAAGGTCACGTAGACAGTAGGCTATAATACTATTTGAATAAAAATGTTTGACCTGTAAGCAGGAAGCTTATGGTTGTTGGATGTTGATTTTTTGCTCTCTATTTCAAAGAAGAGGATGAGGAGGAGTCTTACTCAAGCAGCTCCTGAAACTGTTGACCTGCTGACTGAGAACATTTGTATATACTGTAATAAACTTTGTAAAGAACAATATAGCCTACCTATTAAATTACATTTTTATTGAGATTAATTTTTTTTGGACAACCAAAATGTTTTGCCGACAGATTTTGCCAACAGGTTAACCAGAAAAAAAATCCTTATGTCTACCCCTGCACTAACTCCAAATAAATTGTCTGCTCTGATTACTGTAATGAACTGGTGTGCATGTGTTTTATATATTGTATTATATTTTTCCTTTATCCTTTGTTTTTTCCTTTCTTTGTTATATTTTATACTTATTGCACCTTTACACCGAAGCATATTCCTTGTCTGTGAATCCGGTTCATTGACAATGGCAATAAAACTCATTCTGAAGATGATCACATTAAATAGTTACACGCATGCTCGGCATAAACCACCCCTCTCGTTCAAATTACAAATTCATTTGGATTGAGCTGAATCTAATCAAAATAATCTGAATGGGGTGTGTTTACATGATGCCATAACGCCTGAATTGTTGTGAAACAGGCTGTGTAGTTGGTGACCGCATAATCAATCACATAATGTATGCAGATGATTTGGTAATCTTATGCCCATATAGTGCTGGCCTTCAACAATTACTAAGGGTCTGTTCCCAATATGGTTGTGACTTTGACATCAAGTATAAGGCTAAGAAAAGCAATGTTATGATTGTTAGAAGTAGAGCAGATAAGCATCTGGTAACCCCTGACTTCTCTTTATCTGGCATTGTCCTCAATATATGCAATGAAATTAAATTTTTGGGACACTATATAACTGATGACCTGTCTGATGATCGTGACATCTGTAGGCAGTATTGTATGATGAATGCACAGGCTAATATTCTGATCAGAAAGTTTGGTATGTGTTCATCCTCTGTGAAGATACTGTAGCTCTTTTTAAAGTTTTTTGCACTTCACCTTACACGGCCCATCTGTGGCGAAGATACAAAAAAAGTAGCCTGCAGAAACTTTATGTGGCATACAATGATGGCATGAGGCTACTACTCAGAGTGCCTAGATGGAGCAGTGTTAGCCATATGTTTGTACATAATGCTGTCCCCACATGTGCAGCTGTGCTCAGGAACCTCATGTATAAATGCATGTGTAGATTATCTGTGTCATGCAATAATGCAATTGCAATTTTAGTAAATCCTGTTTTTAGTACAGTGAGATTTCTCTAAAGATTGTGGAAACATTGGCATCATCATTTATTTGTGACTCAATGAATATGTCCTGTTTATTTTTATTTTTTCTCTTATTTTGTTTTTATCTATTTTTACTATGGACCTTTTTGTGTCTGGAATAAAGATTGATTGGTTGATTGATGCATTTTTATTCCAAATGGTCATTTAATGCGATTACTTATGTACGTTTTTCAGGACAGTCTGTCAGAAGATCTGATTCTGTGTTAAAGAGTGTTGAGTTATTTACTGTAAGTRCATCTGTGTGTTGTTTAACAAGTTTGAAATGTTTACTCATTCTGGATTATTCAATCCACGGCTCAGTGCTAGTGGTTTGGACTTAAATCAGAAGAAAAACGTTTCAATGCTAAAGATTTAAATTACATTTTAACAAAGTCAAGATAATGACAAATGAAATATATGTAAACTTAGAAGATGTTAACAAGAGTTCAAACCAGCGGAAGAACTGGAGCTGGACTACATTAGCTAGATGCTACATTCCTTACTGAGGAGTTAACAACAGAGCTCATTGATCGATTATGTCATCTGTTAGCATGCTAAGCTATTAGCGCAGAGAGCTACACGTTTAAAGAGGATAAACACATTAGCTAGAACAAACTGCCGCTAAACTCTAACATCATCACATTCAACAGAATCAAAACACACAAACCTGTCTGCAGGTGATGGTTTTGTAAACAGCAACTGTTTTACTTTCTGTCTGTTCCTGTTCAGCAGATCAATCCTCCAATTTCTCAAGGAAGTCACTTCCGTTAATGGCTGGCCTTCAAAATAAGAGCTCGAAGTGAACACTGCGGTAAACCTAGCCTCTATGGGCACAAATTTTAGTCTTATCGAATTTGTACTTGTAAATCTGACTTTGTATTTGTAGATTAMGATTTGTAACTTTTGGATTTGTAAATAGGAATGTGTCTGTGTAAAA